CCACAGAACAACAGCCTGCTAGCTTAGCTTCCCAAAATAGATGCCTGACACTGTGTACATTCAGTGAATGAGATCCCACCCACGGGTTGAAACATGTGTAACAGCCCCTACTACTGACTGTAGTCTGTAGTCCGATTTTTGCGTCATTGGAGGATTTTTTCCAGACAGAAAATACATAAATCTCTCGTCTCAGGGGGATATGAGGGTGGAAAGCATGATAATTCGAAAATTCTACAGGTTTTATACTAATACAAAGCTTAATGCTAAATTAAGTATCCCTTTATACTTAATACTTTAAGTATTTTAAAGTATCCCTTTAAGTTTTAGTTGTTAAATGTTAATTGTATCACAGTTCAGTGAGTAGTATCTGACAAAAGATATTTGTTTGACCAAATATTGCAGTCTCAGCGTCATTATCAACTGTTTCTCTACCTCTCTTTATTTTTTGACAGTTTTGGATACACGTTCCCCAAACCCCATGATGTCCCTGCAGATGCCTGAGAGGTGTTACTGTGCAGATGTGGTAAAGGAGTGCGATTCGAATAATTTGTTATAGTATCAATTTAGAAGGCTATCTGTTTCTTTCACTCTTCCAGTGTAATTGATAGCTTGAGTTCATTTTGTGCGTGTGTACTTGTCTAGCGAAGTGAACCCCTTTCTATTTTAACATCGGAGTACATGGTACATAAAATATATTTTTCTTGAAAGCGTTTTATGCATATGTTTGATGTTTTATAGGTATATCCAATGGCTGTCGTTGCTACTGCAGAACGTGGTCTTATTGTTTACCAGTTGGAAAATCAGCCTTCAGAGTTTCGACGTATAGATTCGCCTCTGAAGCATCAGGTTCGTTTTGGTTCATTTCTGAACACTCCATTTTTTTAAGTAATTGATTAGAACAATTCTAATTTTATACTACAAATATTACTACAATATTTATAATATTATATTATAATAATTATATAATATTATGATATTAAAAACTACAAATTTGGAATGGAATAAAAATTTAATATGCTACTGTAGCAAAAATGGCAAAAACAGTCAAAAAAAAAAAGTCTGAGCAAAATACAGGACTCAAAAAACATCAAAATTCTTGGAGAGGAGATCAGGCACATTCTAGAAGTTTTCTTACAAAAAAAATTAGAGGCTTTATTTAGAGGCCAAATGCAAAGATGAAAATTTGAAAACGCACAATGCGGGTGACGATGTGATTCAAAAACGCTTTGTCTTCGCATTTGAGCGCTAAATAGAATATTTTTTGGTAAGAAATCTTCTACTATTATCTGTGCAAGCTGCTCTCCTTTTTGAAATTTACTACTGTAGTGTAGAATTAATTTTAAAAAATCTTTTGTATTTGATGACAATGTATTGTTAATATACAATGTAAACTGCAATAAATCTAAAAATACTGTCCATTGATTAGATCATATGACATAAATATATATATTTTTTTCTGGCAATTAAATTCAAATATACTCTTAAGAACTCACTGTGTGTGTCTGTGTGTGAAATGTAACAAATGCACAAAACATGAAATCCTGAAATCTATATATTTTCTGTAAAGTCAGTGTCATTTTAGTACTTTCTAACAGCATTTAAGAAGTAACTAGGGCTGGGTAAAAATAAAATAAAAATTGATTCTTTGGTCTGCCCGATCAGTTTAAGGTGCTAATGCTGGTCCTTGGAAATGAACAATTACAATAGGGTTTCAGCCAGGGCTACATGCTTGAACCCCTAATAGTAAATGTCCTTACAATGACAAGGTTTTGGCTCTTCGTGATTCACTACTCGCCTTTTGGTTCTCATATCTTGTAACCACCTGTTACTTGCCAAGTTTGAAAATATGGAGGAATTAATAAATTTTTAATAATTTGAGGATTGAAAGATTTTTGGTGAATAGCTACTTTAGTTGTTTTAGTTTTGTTTTAGGAATACTATTGTATGGCCTCAGATGACTTTGAATACAGCACATAAGCTTTATGGTCAACAGTGCTTTTTTTGTTTTTTTTGTTGGTCATAACATTTTTCAATTTTGGGCAGTCTCTTCCTTAAGTTCACCAACATCTATGTAGTTGCCTAAATATTACTTTTCTAAGTAATATTTTGGTGTTGATTTACTGCCCATTTCACCTTTTATATATTTTCTTTCTTTCTCCGCAGAATGCAGATATTGTTGCAAACAGTCTATTCAACTTGTGTGTTTTGTTTAACAGCATCGCTGTGTGGCAATCTTTAAGGACAAGCAGAGTAAACCTACCGGTTTTGCACTGGGCAGCATTGAGGGCCGAGTTGCCATTCACTACATAAACCCACCTAACCCGTAAGTCTGTATCTGATCTGATTTATACATTTAACAGCAAATACAGTAACACAGAATAACTTTTTATCTAATATATATCTTTTAACCCAGAGCCAAGGACAATTTCACCTTTAAGTGCCACAGGTCAAATGGAACCAATACTGCAACACCCCAAGATATTTATGCTGTGAGTTTTCGTGTGCTTTTTAAATGCAATGCAAATTTTGCTAGAGTATTAAATCTAGTCTATGGCTGGCCAGTGTTGTATCAAAGACAATATTCAAAAAATAATACTACTTGCCTAATTTGCCTGTTGTTTAGCTAACTGAAAATGGTCATACTTGTTTTATTTGTTATATTTGTTTCTCTGTTGTAGGTAAATGCTATCTCCTTTCACCCTGTCCATGGCACTCTGGCAACGGTAGGCTCTGATGGGCGCTTCAGTTTCTGGGATAAAGATGCCCGCACTAAGCTGAAGACATCTGAACAATTAGATCAACCAATAACAGCCTGTTGCTTCAATAACAATGGCAACATATTTGCCTACGCCTCCAGCTATGACTGGTCTAAGGTACATTCTCAATTAATATTTAACATTAGTATGTTATTAACATCAGAGAAAATATGAGCGTTTTGGACAGTAAAATAATAAATAAAAATAAAATAACAGATCAGATAATTGACTTTAGATTAGATTTTAGGTTTGTTTGCTGAAGTATACATTTTTTTAGTGTAGTATTATTGTCACTTAGGATATCTGATGGTTATGGTTAATTTCATAGAAGATTTTTTAATATGCAAATATACATTTATACAATATTTATGCTTCTGAATCTGAACCATAATTTATGTAATGTCAAAAGTACAGTGCCTTTAAGTTTGCCCCAGATTCTCTTAGTCTCATATGCTTAACGTATAAACAGGGATTATAATATTGAATTCAACAACATTGTGATGGTTTATCAGCTAGAAAGCTAACATTATTGCATTGGAGAAAGTACAGTAATGCTAAAGTGATCAGGAAAATATGGCATTTATGAAAGAGACTGCAAAGGATTTGCTTTTAATATGTTTAAAAATTGACTAGTCTAGTCTATGGGTTGCCTGAATGAGTAGTTCTAGTTAACATAAGACACATTCTTGTATTCAAAAATGGCTTGACAGAGTGCAGCAGAATCCAAGGTTCTTTAGCCACATTGTTAGTTGGTCTTTTGACTTGGCACACTGCCCTATTGAAGCTTTCATGGCAGGACATTAAGTGTAAGGCACAAACCAATGGCCAAAAAGATAAATATATATATATATATATATTTTATAATCAAGTCAACCATTGTACCTGCTGCTCATCTTTTAAGCATTTTAAGGACTAATCATATACAGAACAAATTGATTGAGAAAATACAGCTGGACATGTCAATCCCAGCATTTTGCATCATTGCCTTTTTAGATGTTCACATCAATAACGATGACTATTATAGCGTCCACACCAATGCACAATATGTTTAGTTTATTAGTGTGTGCTACAGGCATGTCATCTGGGGGTATTCCAGATATAACCGACATTCCCGGTTAAGTTTGCGGATAACCTTAACTTATGTTCCAGAGTTAGTTTAGTTTACTTTACTTTGGAATGAAAACTGGACATTGTCTATATAATGTATTTCTATAATAAAATAGGTATGATACATTATACAACAAATGTGGAAGTAAAATGGCTAAACGTAAAAATATTTTCTACAGCCATATCTTTGCAAGCACAATCAAACTTTAATTTATATGTTTATTTTATATATTTAGCATTAAACAAACAAAATAATTTATTCTCAGTAATAAAAAAGATTAAGATTTAAAGATGTTTTAAGATTAAAAATGAGTAAAAACTAAATGTTTGCTCAACCGCCCGCCCAGTAGGTGGCAATAAGAATGCAAATCGCCATTAAATGAAGTTCACCCAAAAATGAAAATTGTCACTTACTCACCCTCATGTTGTTTCAAACTAGAATGAATTTTTTTCTTCTGTAACCCAAACAGTTGATGGGCCATATACAATGGAAGTCAATGGGGCCTGTTTGGTTACCCATATTCTTCAAAATATGGGTAGTGTGAATTGTGAACGGGCCTTTAGAATGTTGATTTTATGATTTGGTGTTGTCTTTGTTACTTTGGAGACAGTTACGATTATGGATGTAAACATGAGAACTTGAGTTAGTTCTATGTCTTTAATGAATTTGAGTGACAACCAGTGTGACCTCTGCTCACGTTTTCCCCCTCTGTTTTGTTTAACAGGGACACGAATATTACAATCCCCAGAAAAAGAATTACATCTTCTTGAGGAATGCGGCTGAGGAACTGAAGCCTCGGAACAAGAAATGGTGAGAGGGGGATGTCCATTCCTGTGGAGACTTTCTTTCACTGGGCAAGGGCCGGTGTGCTTTCTGACTTGCGCAGACTTTGTGCAGTTGTGATTCTTTCTGAGTTCTATGGTATCTCATGATGGATAAATAAGTTGCCCTTGGCTTAGTGGGATAAATTCTGAAGGAGCTCAATCGTTTTTAAAATGGTATACAGAAAGGAGATTTTACTTAAAGGGTTAGTTCACCCAAAAATGAAAATGTTGTCATTAATGACTCACCCTCATGTCGTTCCAAGCCCGTAAGACCTCCGTTCGTCTTCAGAACACAGTTTAAGATATTTTAGATTTAGTCGGCGAGCTTTCTGTCTCTCCATTGAAAATGTATGTACCTTATACTGTCCTTGTCCATAAAGGCAATACAGACATCATCAAAGTAGTCCATGTGACATGAGTGGGTTAGTTCGAATTTTTTGAAGCATCGAAAATACTTTTTGGTCCAAACATAGCAAAAACAACGACTTTATTCAGCATTCTATTCTCTTCCGGTTCTGTTGTCATTGCTCGTTCACGATTCCAATGACGCGGCTGACGTGTAATCTTGTGCACCCGATTAGGACGATTTGGACATCCGCGACATGCACACTTTCAAACCATTTTTTAAAAATATTGCAATACAAAAATACAAACAATATAGAAAAGCTTGAATACAGCGCACGCTCTATCAGACTGTAAATGAAGCTCGGGCGCACAAGATTACACGTCAGCAGCGTCATTGGAATCGTGAACGAGCAATGACAACAGAACCGGAAGAGAATACAATGCTGAATAAAGTCGTTGTTTTTGCTATGTTTGGACCAAAAAGTATTTTCGATGCTTCAAAAAATTCGAACTAACCCACTCATGTCACATGGACTACTTTGATTATGTCTGTATTGCCTTTATGGACAAGGACAGTATAAGGTACATACATTTCCAATGGAGGAACAGAAAGCTCTCCGACTAAATCTAAAATATCTTAAACTGTGTTCCGAAGATGAACGGAGGTCTTGCGGGCTTGGAACGACATGAGGGTGAGTTAATAATGACATTTTCATTTTTGGGTGAACTAACCCTTTAAGTTCAAAATGAAATGTTCAGGGTTGAAGTGTATTATGCATTGAGTATGATGATGCATCATACTAGGGGAAAGCCACTATATAAATCAAAACCATGTTAGAAAAAGTAACTTTTTACTAGGAATGAATCTTTTTTATTTTGCTGTAATATTCATAAATCTGGCTGTGATGTTTCCCCTCTATTTTATTATTATAATTGAGTATAACAAACTTCTAATTGAGACATAAGATATCTAGAATGATTTTAAATTAGTTTTATTACGATTAAAAAGAAGCTAGAAAGTAGGATGTACAGGATGCTCTAATTTACATTTATTTTAACTGTCCACTCAGTTGTTGTTACAGAAGAATATTGTGTTCTTGAAACTTCTGGGGCCTGATGTTTAAACATTGTGTGCGTGCGCACAGAATGGGCTTGGAAAATTTTGTACAGAATTTCCCATGCACATATTGGGATAAAAACAAACAAACTAAAAAACTTGTCCCTTGGGCACTGTTCACATGAACTCTGAACTGTGTATTGACTCTCTTATTGGTATATATGCTAATAAGTGACTCCTGTAGCCAAGTAATGAATTGAAGAGAAAGTACTTCGACTTTTAATTTAATGCTTCAATTCTTATTCATTGAGTTAAGCTCTTAAATCTGATTTGATTAACTAGGACTTCTTATGTAAATAATTGAAAAGACATAAGCTACAAAATGGAAAGATTTGTAATTGTTGCTTTACCTTTGAATGATTTTTGTTAAAAAGTGTGTTATTGATGACTTTAGCTTCATGGCTTAATTTTTCTGGAAAAAGTTTTTACTCGCAAAAATATTACATCAATCTGTGTTGCACTTTTAACTTGATCAACGTTAGATGGCTTTGCAAGACCGACAGTATAAAGACATGCTGCCTCACATGTTTGGGAGTCAGACCATTGGTCTTAAAGGGTTAGTTCACCCAAAAATGAAAATTAAGTCATTAATTACTCACCCCCATGCTGTACCAACCCCGTAAGACCTTCGTTCGTCTTCGGAACACAAATGTGAGAATTGCGATCTGAAGGAGATCGCAATTCTTGCGCATGCGTCGTGGAAATCTAAGGAAGTCTCGTTTCTGGCCTACAAGGAAAAAAAGGAATAGTCGAATAAACTCGTTATTTTTGTTTGTTTTTTCGCACAAAAAGTATTCTCGTCGCTTGATAAACATATAGTTGAGCCACGGTAGTCACTTGGGATATTTAAACATTTTCTTCATTGACTTTCTGGGCCGTCAAGAGGCAGTCCCTTAGGAGCCAATGTGGTAGTTATACAGCTCTCAAATTTAATCAAAAATATCTTCATTTGTGTTCCGAAGACGAACGAAGGTCTTACGGGGTTGGTACAGCATGGGGGTGAGTAATTAATGACTTAATTTTCATTTTTGGGTGAACTAACCCTTTAATAAACATCTGCTGTTGGCTGTCTGGATTGGTCACACACAGTTGTGCTGTTTTATGGTAGCATTTACAGATCTGTTCGGTGCATTGATATGAAAAATACCATGAAATACGGGGGAAAAAGTCAGCAGTGTTTACGCTTAAGTAGGATGCAAAGGAAACCGTACAAGTTTTAGCATTTATAGTACTTTGCTTGTTTTCATTTTTTTAAACATTTGTTTCCAGCAAAAATATTTAAATATATTTTTACTGTTCTACAATACCAAGTCGGTGATTTTAAGAAAATTATATTAACAGTCTGTGTGCCTTCTTTTTCTTGTGCTGATAGATGAATAGTATCAGGTGTTTGGATGACTGTGTGTGGATCTTATATACAGAGGTGGATGTATATGAATTTTGGTCTCTGATCTACTTAGATAAATCTCTTAATACTGGAGAATGATCTGTAAAACTTGGAGGCATTGGAATTGGCCTGTCAGAGAATAAAGATGTAATAATTAAGCATTATGCCTTTCTTGACCATGTGAAAACTTTACTTTTGTTCATGGGGAACAGGAAACCAAAAATAAATCTGATTTGAAAAGCAGAATGCTGTATTGACTGACGCCTGCCCCTCCTTGTCTTTAGATTCATCAAGCTTCACATCACATCTTGGAAGACCTGCATTAGTGTGTAAATATGGGAGAGAGACCTCAATTTGGCTAACACCTGGACCAATGGCATGGCAATGCGTAATTTTTATGGACCAATTGGAAGGGCGCCAACTGCTCATAAGCAATGGTGATTTGAGCAGTGGCTTTTGAAACGAGTAAGGAAGCCATGCTTTAGCATTTCTGGTGTAATTGATGTACCTTTTTTTTCTTCGTAAAGTTCTTCATTACTTGCAACTCTCATTTCTTGATACTGCCTTGCAAAGGAAATGCATTTTCACCTTTTGCTTTTCTTTCTCTTCTTGCTGTATTATCACATAATGTAACCAATAATAAATCTATCTCAAGCTTTCTCTGCATTTTGACATTGCACTTGTCTTATTGTCTTGCAGGTGGGAAAAAAGATGCAGACCTTCATAAATATAATTTTGTAGTTTTGCGTAAACTTACTTTTGAATCAGTAATGTTAATGTAAACAAGTCAACTATTAAAACTTGTTGGTCAAGTGGTGCAACCAACATACTGGGAGAAAACATCTTAGAATTCTCTTGACACCCTTATGACTGTCAAGATCTGTTAAAGTGCTGCTTTTATTCTATCTTAAATGTTTCTTAATTTGTTTTGGATGCCTCTAACAATAGATTTACATGCCTAAAAGGTAAAAAAAAAAAAAAGGCATGCGTTACACATCACCTAATTTCTCAAATAATCTGAAAACGATTTGTTCAAAGATTCTTTCTCTCTAAACCCCTCCTTTCCCCACAGCCTACTCTGCTCTGGGTCAGATGTTGTGATTGGTCTACCTCTTTCAGCATGTGTCAGAAAAGAAATTACCATTACCATATCTGAATTTCACCTTGGGTGCTACCTCAGCTCTTCCATACACAGTGATATGATCAGTAATAGAGAGCCTAAGTCCCTCCCCCCCGCTTATTTCGGAATAAATATGTATGGTAGGAAATGGCGAGAGACAACTTATCTTTTTATTGCAACATGACATCATGACTTTTGCGTAAACATACACGCCACTTTTGAGTCAGGTGGCATGTTATCTGTACGCATTTTGAGCTATCCGCATGTATGTTTACGCCATTAACGTCAGCGTCATTCCGCGTGTCTGTACACGCAGTCAAATCTCCTGTCATAAATGCCAAAACACGTCATATCTTTTTTTTTCCTAGGATGGTAAGGGAACAGTCATAAATGCCATTAACCCCAGTGACGGTTAGGTTTAGGGACGGGGTTGAGGTAAGTCATATATTTATATAACGTTAAGTCAACGGCGTTCATAAACACGCTGAAAGGCGATTATGCGTCTTGATAGCACGCCAAAAATGGAAATACGAATTGGCGTGTCATACACACACGCTACTTCTGAATTACACGTAGGCCTATGGTGTTTGTTCATTTAAAAAGATATTATGAAAGTCAAGAAAGTCGGAGTTTGTCATAGAACAGAAGAGTAACATTTAGTTTTATGTGAAAATCATTCAATGAACTACATCTCCTGTGAAGCGAAACAACGACCAAGATCCGTTGCTCATGTGTGTAGTCTGGTACAAAACACTCAGGCATGATGGCGTAAAGTTAGGATTATAACGCAAGACTATAGAAAAAAAATATGACTGACTTTAGCTTCAGTAAAGTTAGCTTCACTCATTGAGAGAAAATGCACGTTTTGGGTTTGTAGACTTTGTAATTACGTATTTTCACAGTCTTATACCTCAACAGTTTTACATCAAACTGCGACTTTCTTTACTTTAAAATGTATCTTTTAAATTGACAAACATATGTGTAATTCAGGGCACAATTCAAACGAGATCAAAAAATTTGTTGTCTCTCGCCATTGACTACCATACATATTTTTTCCAAAATAATGTCCAATGAGCCAGAGGAAGAGGGGAGAGACTTGGGCTCTCTATTATGGCGATGGGTTTTTCCTTTTCAATTCCAGTGCGAGTCCTCATCCCTTTAAAGCGCATACAGTATTTGGGCATGTCAAAGTAGATGTTGTTTGTGAGCAACCAATGAAGACCATAGGCTGGCATTAAGCAAATTTGTTACGTTAATGCAGTAAGACTGGGATTGCTGATGACTTTTGGCAGTTCAGACTTGAGAATCGATTATTTGTTTTAGGAAGCAATAACTTTATTTGCTGTGTGCTTTGATCTCTAAATCTTTGCTGACCCTTTACGTTCACAAACAGTTATATTACACATTGCGTCAAAGGCAATATTTGAAAAGGCCCGACTGTAAAGAGAATTATAACTGCAACTATATCCACACCGACAAAAACAATATCATTTTTTATTTTAAGCGAGCACTGCAGTTTTGTTGTCTGCCACTAAATGCTGAAGCTCTTAAAGCATGATGGATTCTGAATGGCTGTCAATGTTTTTATCGTTGATTAGCTGTAAAAAAAATCATTCTGAAAGTTAGGTTGCTTCACTGTTAACTGCAATTATGGGATAGTAAAAGTGTCCATCATACACACTTCATCTCGCCGGATGTAGTTGGTCATCAGGGACGGGTACTGTTTTATGAGTACTGTGAATTCTGACATACTACTTCTGACTTTTTGCCAACTCTTTTATGAGTACTGTCAATTCAGTACTGTGAATTCAGACATATTACTTTTGTTACAAGCTGCGTCCTAAATGACGTACATATAGACTGTACTTATGCACTATATACTCAACTGTGTAGTGTATGAATTTTAAAAGGTTATTTTGTTATTTTGCATCGGAGTCTGATAACCCCTCACCCTGCTACGTAATTAAAGCTGCAACAGTTGAGTGCATGAAGTATCTAATATTCCACACTCTGTTTTTTTTTTTGTTTAACTAAGTGCATCATCTGGTTTTTACAGTGTTTTTAAAGTGAATTTAAGGCCTCGCCTGGGCAAGCTGGGTCGGTGTGTACGTGTGGGGTCACTTCCCTGGGGTGTCCAAATGGGTCATTTGTGAGGAACCCACCTTGTTTCAACACTGTTATATCCATACTGTTGCTGTACAGAAAGTGCCCATCTTGATTCAAGAGGCTTTGTTCTTTCTTTGCCAAGGAGGAAGGTGAACATCATGCAGAAATATTTTTTGTCACACATCCTATAACATACAAGGAAATGACGATGGACTTCATGGATACTTATTTTCATGTTGAAATAGCTTGTTTCTGCTAAATGCGCAAGTTCCGAGTCTTCTCTTAGTTTTCTTTCCTCCTCTCACTTTCATAAAGTGCATGGAGATGACAATGACTCTGCTGAGGGCGAACAAGTGATGTTTGTGTTGTTTACTTCTTGTAAGGTGTCCTTTGTGGGGATATAACTTGATTCAAACATGATGACATCTTGCCTCTCAGACACATATAAAGATCACCTTATTTTTGCCAGGGCTCAGACTGCAACTTTGTCTTTACTAGGACCTTTAGGAATTGGGATCTAGTGTCCTGGCACAAAGTTGTCATGACAGCTGGGGAACCTGTGCAACAGGCAACAAGTATACGGTACCTGGCATGCCTCATGGGACATAAACTGCCTAAAATTTCTGGTTGCATTCTTGGCTCTCAGGGCCTTTTGCTGTTTTTTGCTACTTTTTTAACTTATGCACTGCTGGTGGAAATGGTCTCGTGCCTGTACGCAACATCTTTACATGTAACATCTGAACATGTTACACCTAAAAAAAAAAAAACTAAAAAAAACGTTGGTACAAATAACCTTTCTACGGAGCCCCCCTAGTCCCACTTTGGCAAAAAAAATTAATTATAACTATCTTGTGGCCTCAAGATAGTAACTCGTGGCCTCAAGATACTAACTCGTAGCCTCAAGACACTAACTCGTGTCCTCAAGATAGTAACTCGTGGCCTCAAGATAGTAACTCGTGGCCTCAAGATACTAACTCGTGAGGAGTAATGCCGTTTAAAGAAACCACCGAAATTAGCTAAAACGGCTAAAGCTAGCTAAGTAAACTAGTAGAGAATGAATGCTGCTGCTGCAGGGATACGTTTGGGATGAAGAATCATCAGAAATATTATTGTTTGAAGACTGGTGTGGTCATTTCAGTTAATTACCATTACAATATCCATATTACCATTCTTTTCCCAAAACTCTGGGGCAGCTATCGGTATATTAAATGGTAAATGGACTGCATTTATATAGCGCCTTTATAGACCTAATGGCCACCAAAGCGCTTTACATTTGCCTCACATTCACCCATTCATACACTCATTCACACACCGACGGCGGTGTCAGCCATGCAAGGCGCCATCCAGCTCGTCGGGAGCAGCTGGGGTTAGGTGTCTTGCTCATGGACACCTCGACACTTGGTCAGGTGGAACCGAGGATTGAACCACCAACCTTTCGGTTCGTAGACAACCCACATGAACCACTGAGCCACTGCCGCCCCTAGTCACTATCACTTACCACAGACAATGATGAGCAGCTTTGAAGTCCGTTGGTAACCATTGGTTGGTTGTTCCAAACACATAAAAATTACTAAGATCACGCGTGTGTGTGTGTGTGTGAGCCATGATGCTAAATATACAGCATGTTTTTAAGAATTTTGAGAGTAGTCTAAAATTCTATTGAAATTCTGAGCCTGTTGATCGCCAACTAGTAGTGAAATCATCACAGATCCATTGATTTTGTTTGGATTTTTATCATTTTTTCTGTGGAATGAGTATAGTGTTTGGTGAAAAGAATGGCATATTGCCTGTTGTCATAACTTAATGGAATAATTGATTGCCAATGAAGTAAAGATGAAAATAGTGGAAAAAAAGTTAAAAAACGCCTGTTTTTTTTTTTGCATTAAATTGATGCAAAATCATGTAGAAATGTGTTTTAAGAATTATTTTTTCAGTGTATGTTGTCCGCACATGTGTTCTGTGTATCTGGAATGCATTTATTGAGAACCTACCCAACCCACTAAGGATTTGATGAAAAAAATAATTTTTCACATTTTTCTGATAAAAAATAAAGGGTGCGTACACTAAAATGGCCACAGTTTTTTTTCGCGATATTTCCGGCAGAGCAGACCCTCCAATTATTTGTTCTTAGGGTCAAAGTTAACAGAAAAAACATAAATAAAAAGTATGGCAGACCATGTCAGGTTCAACCCATTTTATAGAGCTTTTGAGACTTTGGCTCCCTGACTAAATCTTAAAGGAGTGATTACGGGGGTTCCTGTAGCTTTATCAAATGAGGTCTTAAAGGCACAAATTACAAATGACATGGTGACAGAAGTGAATCGCCTGCTTTCAAGTAGAAATGGTAAAAAAGAAAGTAGTACTACTGTTGTACTAACTTTCAATGGGAAAGATAGGATATATGTCCTATACTGTCAGACCATTTGTGAGCAGGATGGAAGGGAAGAGTATATTAAAGCTGCCTGCAACCAGAAATGGCAAAGAAAGTGGAATGAATGTAAAACAGGAAGACATTTTTATAATCTACATAATACTGTAAGACAAAGTATATTGACACTAAATTTAAAGAGAGAAGATCAGGTTATTTTAACAAGACTAAGGATGGGACATACAAAACTTAATTCAACACTTCATAATTTAGGGAAACATGGTACTGGTTTATGCGAAATATGCCAAGTAAAGGAAACAGTTGAACATGTGTTGTTATTTTGTTCCAGGTATGAACAGGAAAGAAAGGATTTAGTGAACTAAAGGAAATGGGATGCAAAGAATTTACAATCAATAACATATTGAACACAAAACAAGGATCCAGGGAAATTGTAAGGTCAGTTTTAAAATTCATAAAGCATAGTGGTCTTAGGACTAGAATATAGTCATCTTTTAACATACTTCTAGACTGAAATCACTTCACACTCCAGCACAGGTGGTGGCGGTATGCACCATAAAGTTGGTATGCAACCCGCCAATAAATCCATAGAAGAAGAGGAAGAAGAAGAACATTTGTGCACACTGTGGACAAGATGGCTGCCTCTATGTGGCGGATCAGCGGGGCGATGAATCGAGCTCTTGTTAAAGCTGGCTATGTGAGTATTTCATGGCTTTGCAATTTATTACTGGCTTTAGGAATTTCAAACATTAATTTAAGTACGCGCGCATTAACCAGTCGATCTCCAAGCTCACTGTGGCTGTCATTGGCCTTGTCAATGTCGGAAAGCTAGCTGATAGCTCGGTTACATTGAAGGTTAGATCTCTTTCTAGTGTGTGAGAGCTTTCGAGGACCAAGACACAAGTATTTAATAGTCCAGTAAGCAAGTCACTTTGTAACTCTAGAAAGTTAGATATTGCGCACTTATCTTCATTTTTCTTCTTGGTTAGGGAACATGAAATTTTACTTGACAAGGTCATTGAAAACTTCATGTCACCCTGATATTTAGAATCTTTTTTTCGTTTTATATTGTTACTGTATAACTTATACATTTTTGTGACTTTTCCCTTTTCAATTTTAATCAAATAACAAAAAATACGTTAGATGCAGCGCTCTCTCCTCAATGCAGCATCACACAATTACAAAAATACAGCATAGAATCTGGTTTGACGAAGAGCGCATTTATTTTGCTTGTTAATAAACAACATTCAATTAATGAGTCAGTGACCTATAGGTGCGTCAATAGAATGAAACTCTTTAAAAACAAATCTGCATCATAATTCATGGCAAGTTCTTAAAAATGTGCTGTTCGTTCATTTTGGTTTCATGTAGTTTTGAAAAACTATACTTTAATATTTTTTTTTTTGTTTTATGGCTACCAAAATTTAGTGAAAAGTATTTTTCTTACAGCTGAAATATGTGTGCACATGTTAATAATTTAAAAATAAAGACCCACCACCAACAAATTAATTTTAATTCACAAATTTGAAACAGAAGAGGAGTAGATGTAAAAACTTTGCCTATACATTGTTTACATTTATAATCTTTGAGCAAATAATATATATTTTTTTCAATTAATACATTTGTAGACATAAAAGAGGTAAAAAGGTGTATGGGATAAAAATAAAACAGTTCTGTTTCTCCTGATTATTTTTTCTTTGTATGAAAAATAATATGAAAATGGAAGTCAACATACTGTGCACCTTTGGTCTGGACTTAAAGGGCACCTATTATGCCCCTTTTTACAAGGTGTAATATTGGTCTTGGGTGTCCCCAGAATGTATTTGTGAAGTTTCAGCTCAAAATACCCCACAGTTAATTTATTATAACCATTTAAAAATGTCATTTTGGGGCCTGCTTAAAAATGAGCTGTTTCGGGGTTATACAACCTTAAATGCAAATGAGCTGCATATCCCCGCCCTGCCTTTGGATGAGGGCGTAACTTGATACCTATGGCAGTCGGTACTGAGAGAGTGAGAGAAACCGCTGTTTTGAATGTCATTCAGCGTCAGAGACTCCGGCAGAATAAACACAAATGAGAATGGACCAGTATGTCTCGGTATGGTTATTTGATACATTTATGTACTTATAGTCAGAGTTGTTGTAATCGCGTCCCATTTGCAATTATGGATGTGGAAGACACACACACACACAAACACTAATGCTGGTGCAATTTTTTTTAAACTAACACATACTGTGATAAAGTTTGCTAATGTTACGTACAAGCGAAATTACAGTTATGCGAGGGACCTCTAGCGTCATGTTTAGCTTGTCATACAGGTGCTTCTCTGGTAAATGTGAGAAGATGGCTAACTTGCAGAACAACAACATATATGCAGTTTTTAATACAATATCTTTAAAAATATAAATATTTATAAACGTGTGGTTACACACTAGACAAACGAGGTTTAAATTATATAGCCTACACAGACATCCTACGACGACGGCTGACATTGACTGAAAAGACTTTGTGTTTGCTCAAAAATCATAAAATACACTTACTGTTACTGGAGGTGACGGTGCATCGCAAACAGTAGACGACGATCCACACTTGAGGATTAACTTTTAAGCCACAACAACAGGATTAATCCACGACAGAACTTTGTTTCCAAGAGACATTACCGGCTGTCGTTGAAACAATGGAGGATGGTGTACAGATCCCCGAGGGCGGGGTCTATGCCACAACCACCCTGTCAATCAAACCCCTTGCTAAATTCTACGTCACAAAGAGCTGAATCTTAGAACAGTTTGTAAAAAAACCACTGGGTGGATTTGCTCACACACTGCCAACACACATTTATGTTCAAACTCCATGTAAAAGTGAATTTTTCATAATAGCTGCCCTTTAAACACTAAATCCCATGAAAAGCTAATTTACTGAAATACCCTATGGATCTCTAGTTTTTCTCCTTAAATTCTCACATCTCTTTTCAAGATTGTTTTCTCTCACTTTCACTTCTATTCTCCTGTTTACTGTAATGCTTCTAACGTGGTGAAGTGCCATCAGAAAACATGAATGTATACACACTCAAACACATAAATACGAAACATGAGCATAGTATAACGTTCATATTCTGGGCACACCTATATACAACATACTTAAATAAAAATACTTGAGTTGAATTTTATCACCTTTTCTCTCTCCTTGTACATGATTCATGATAATAAAAATTGTCAGTAGTCAGTAGGGAAGCATAGCAATTAATTTATTCTTATTTAAAACACTTTCAGTAAGTCATTGTTACATTTGTAATAAAGACCTGTCTTATTTTACATTGAGGGAAACATTTTAGGTTTCATTTTATTTTTAACCCTCCTGTTACCCTCAAATCTGATAACATTTTTTTACCTACTGGGGTCAATTTGACCCCAGTAATTTAAACCAAAGGTTTATATCAGTTAATTTATGTCTTTGTTGACTACTGTAACCTTTCAAGTTGACTGCATGCTACAAAATGTGTGCAGGACTTATTAGCAAGAAAATAAGTATTATAATAGAAAATATTAGCAGGTTCATTTTTATGTTTACAGAGTTATCCCCATTAAATTAGGAAAAGTCATTAAAAAAAAAAAAAAAAAAATATATATATATATATATATATATATATATATATATATATATATATATAATTATGCATTTACAGACGTTAAACATTGGATGGGGTCAAATTGACCCCAAGGATAATAGGAGGATTTTCTTCCTTTTTAAAATTGGTAAAAGAATGTACACCATATTCTTATGTTTATCTTTCTTTTAATTTTAGCCTCTTCTGCTGTCTTTGAGCCGAGGACAGGCCTCTGTATCATATGCTCAGAGCCTGCTCGGAGTTTCAGAAACTCGGCTCACTACCTTGAGCAATGGCTTGAGGATTGCCTCTGAAGAGACCGACCAGGCCACATGCACGGTGACTTGCTTTTTTATGTGTTCATATTTTCTGTGTTCATAAAAATAACAGGAATTAAAAAAGCCTAAGTAACTCTGTCCTTTAACTTTTCCATTTACAAATTAACATGTTTAGCTAAAAGGAAATCAACCTCAAAAGCACTGAGCACTGCTAACTTAATCCTTTGTGCTTTTCATTTGTCTGGCTTTTGCAGGTCGGTCTTTGGATTGGTTGTGGGAGCAGATATGAATCTGAGAAGAATAACGGTGCTGGATTTTTCCTGGAGCATATGGCATTTAAAGTATACATGATGTCTTTACTCGTTCTCTCTAAATTAATGTTGTTACTAAGGCTAGGGTATTGCTGCTTTACAATATGTGTTATGATGTGTGTCAGAATTATATCACGGAATAATGCATTATAATATATCGCTCAACATTTTTTTTGTTACAGTTTAAGTTGAATGTTTGCTTTCAAAAGTGCAAATTCATTGAAATGACACTTGAGGAATAGGGCTGGGCAAAAAAAAAAATCGATGAATTGTTTTTTAAAATGTGGTTGATTAGTGGCCATTGAGAATTGACACCGAATCAATCTATTTCCGCGAACATTGAACATAATGGGTGCTTCTCATTTCCTATTTGTTTCCTCATTTCCTTCCCTCTCTCATTTCCTTGCGTCTTAGCTCCACCCCCTTAGGATGCTAGGGAAGGAGAAACCCGTGTTTTGAACCTGAAATCCTCGCTCATGACTCCTCAGAAAGCTTCCTTGCTCCTCAATCCTCATCTCTTCCCCCTCGTGTGCACACTTTCAGGCATTCAGGCGAAAGAGAATTCTTGTGCGATGTGTGCGCAGTGCACATAGCTGGGCGTCTCAGAGATCATGCAAATAATAAAATAAATTCTTTCACCTCTTCCCGCTCTTAAAAGGACATTCACACACATTTCTCTCAAAATGCCCCCATTTGTGAGTATCCAAGTTAACATAGGTCGGTTATGGCTTAAGCAAAGAGTGGAGAAAGAACTTGTGTATCATATTGGGTCTGTGCGTTAGTCTTAAAGCAATCTAATTTTCCTGTAACTGTCGCTTTTTTAATGTTAATGTTTTTAATGTTTAACAAACTCCCTGCTCTTCACTGAACAACATTTTGTAACTTTATTTAAGGATTAACCTTTATTTAATTTGTACAGTGAAGATTATATGCAGTGTTATTTTACATTTGATTAAATTATTCAATTTCTGTACCTGAAAACTACTGTTAGACCTACCTTAACCTTAATCGCACTGATTATTTAATTTGTATCTTTGTTCTATTGTATTTATTTATTTATGTATTATTGACAGTGGCATACTGTGGGGTTTCAGTCATGGCCTTCAGCTCGTGTAGTCTTCACTCGGACACACGCTTCAGTCTATCGCCGTTGTGGAGACTCTCTCTTCGTTCTGGTCACAAAACAAAATGCAAAAATGGTTCCTGCTTGATATACAAACACTGATGAACATTTTCGGTTTTAATGAGAAAAAGAAAAAAAAAACTGTGTTTTAGAACCCAGAACCCAGAATTGAATTTAGACATTTACAGACACACATTAACTATGAAAAAAACAAAACATTATTGTTTTTGACAGGGCCAGCAGAGATGGCATTTGCATTTTAATTCTTTGTTCTTTTTTTATTAATGACTGTTAGCTATGGTAATTGGAATAGAGAATTGTTAAATTTCATTGGTATCTAAAATGTTGGCTGTCGTATAACCTTATTTATTACAATACAAGTATACATTGGTCAAAAACAGCAAAAAACAATAACTATTTTATTAATTCATTACTTTCTTTGTAGTGGGGCCAGTGAAAAGAATCATTGAATTTGATGACTCGAATGAAAAATCGAATCGAATTAAGATCTTGTGTATCGGAATCAAATCAATCAAATCAAATCGTTGTCCAATTTGAACCCTTTCTGCTTTGTATTCAAAGCTAAATAACTTAATTGTAGCCACTTTTATAAATCTTAAGATTCTAACATTTGCATTTTGCTTACTAGTGCATTTTGCTTACACTTTGCTTTCACATTATGATAATTGACCTGAGCTCAGGTTGATTTTTGCGATAATTATTGAATGTAGTACTTCCTATAAGCACATGGTGTATAATTCTGAATTTCTGTTTATAGTGGGGGAAAAAAAAACATTAATATTGTTTTGTGAAAATAGCCTTCCTTTTATAATGCTTACACAACCCATTCCATTAGCCTAATTTCACTAATTTGCATGCTTTACTTCCTATTCCAAACTATTCTTGGATCAAGGGCACAAAGAAGCACCCGCAGTCTGCGCTTGAACAGGCAGTGGAGTCTATGGGAGCTCACCTGAGTGCATACACCTCTCGGGAACACACTGCTTACTACATGAAGACTCTTGCCAAGGACTTGCCTAAAGGTTAGAGAACAATCAACTTTTTTCTCAAACAGACACAGTTTATTTATGATAATGTATATTAAGATCTGAAATGGTATTTTAAGATCTTATTAATGATGTCTCTGTGTTGTTCCCTCCAGCGGTGGAGCTGTTGGCAGAAGTAGTGCAGAGCTCATCTTTGAGTGAGGCAGAGATGGAGCAGCAGAGGAGTGTGGTGCTAAGAGAGCTGGAAGAGGTGGAAGGTAGCTTGCAGGATGTTTGCCTGGATCTGCTTCATGCTACTGCTTTCCAGGGTACTCCTCTGGGCCATAGTGTTCTTGGTCCCTCTGTCAATGCCAGGTATGCTCACAGCCTCTAGGATTCAAGATATTGTATTTCATGTTTCAAATGCTTAACTTTGTGTCATTCAGATTGAAAGCAACTTGTAAATACCTCAGTCAATTGGATTGAGCTTGATCCGAATAAATATTTGATCAGATTGAAAGGTGTATATGTGTAGACCAGAAATAATCCAATCATTAAGAAAAAAAAATAATACTTTGAGCATATGCGCAGTGCTGTGATGTGTATGTTTACAAGAGCACTTTTATAATAAGATCTGTTTACATACATTTGAGTTTTTACAAACATGCATGGTTATTTACGTATTAAGCATTGGTCAGTGGAGGAAACTTGATTATTTCCAAAATATTTGCATAAAAATCTCTTCTGACATTTGCCAGCTTTCCTTTTAAGGCATGTCATGAAGGTCAAAAAACGATCATGCTCACTGTAGCTGCAGTAATATTTCTCCGGTTCTCAATGCGGTGACTGAGGCACTGCGCTGAATTTTTTTCGAAATACATAAATGTACACGCAAATGAAAATATGTGAAACTGCAAAGTTTAGGGTTGAACAGCCCATGAACAGAATGGCCTATCAGAGGTGCTAGTCAGTAAATAAGTCAGAATCCACTTGTCACCATTGAAAACGTACAAGTTTTTGTTCAACACGAGCCGCGCACTCACAAATCCTTTCACTTTAACCAGCAAAGTGTAAACAGAATGTTAATAAGATATTCATTGTACAATTAAAAAAGCTTTTTTTTTTAATATAACAGGAGTTTTTGCTAGTGCAGAATTCAGTGAACTTGCACTTTAGAGATTCACAGCCTCAGTGATTAGCCACCTGTTTCCGCAACTTCCGGTCAGGTGGCGGAAGTAGCATACCAATGGTATTTTGTGTGCTATTTCGCAAAGAGGTTAGGTGTTTTTCGGATAATGTTGTACTATTTAAACTAAGTCGCAAACCTTTATGAGAGATGTCATTACGGAGCTCAGGGACAACATGTGCTGTTCGCGGTTGTACATAGTCCTATAACTGGACTAAACTAATTCAGTGGCAAATTTTATTATCCAACAATCTTGGACTAAAGATTTTAAGTGAAGGCTACTGTGAAGCAACATATTCAGAACATGAATGACACACAGTAAACATTTCATAGTATAATATAATATATAGGCTATATATATTTCTCACGTCAGTGGGCAAGTAGACGCTGAGTTTCGGTTATTTCATGAGACGAGCTGCAGTTCAGGCGCCAGCGCCTTCGTGTCTTGATTATTGTCTGCTATATTTACTTATTATTTATTAAATCCAGGTAATTTGTAGATGAAACATTGATTAAAATTAAGATACAATTAATACAAAACTTTTTGTATTAATTAACTTAATTAAGGCTCATTAACTTAATTAAGGAAATTAACTTTAAATTATTATTATTATTTGACATTTTATTAAAGCGGAATAGCCCCTTGAGATGAGCCATCTCATTTTCAAGGGGGTTCTCGATTCTAGATTCAAATAAAAAATTGACCTTATAGCAGCTGGAATTTAACATAACAAATAGCAAAAACAAAAAACAAATAACAAATACACAAGAAAAACAAACAAACAAAACAAAAAAACATGCTTTACAGTAGTACTATATAGCTAAATATATAAGCCAAAACCAAACAAGACATTCATTCATACAAGACTCCCAAAAGGTGACACCCTCCTCCCTAAACAGAGTAAACAATATCATTTGTGCCAAGACAACATCAAAACACAAGTAAACTCATATACAGACAAAAAAAAATATATGTACCATGCCAAAAAAATTAGTTACAGTGAGAAATAAATATAATAAAATAAAGCTAATCAAAAGCAATTGCATGTACTCTGAAGATGTTGAGCTAAATGACTTGTAAATATTGGAAAAGAAGTTAAAAAGAGAATTGAAATTGGTAGTTTATTCCAATCATATGGTGCTTTATATTGAAATGCATATTTTCCTAATTCTTTATTGATCTGTGGAGTGTAAAAATAAATTTGGTTATTATGACGAAAATTATGAGATGACCTAAATGGAATTAAATATTGTTTTAAATAAGCAGGGTAATTCATATAAATGCATTTTTAAAAAAAAGAAGCTGTAACCAATGAAAACACCTTCTATTTGATAAGGTCAGCCAGGACAATTGATGGTACATTTCACAATGGTGTGTTCTGTAGGGGCAGCGGAGTATAAATCTACATAGGCTATTGTAAACTGTATTAAGAGACTGAAGACAGGAAGCAGTAGTGTTTTGGTATACAATGTCAGCATAATCCAAGATTGGCAATAGAAGTTGAGAAATGATTCTTTTTCTGACATGATAATTAAAACAGTTAATTGATTGGTATAGGATTCTGAGTGAGCAGTTGAGCTTATTAGTTATATTATGCACATGAGTGCTGAAGGAAAGATCAGAGTCAAGCCACAGGCCAAGATACTTAACCTGGCTAGTATGTTTTATAGAAGTTTGATCCAAAGATATAATATTTAGAGAGTTTTCTAAAGAAGAATTCTGTTTCATTTTAAAAAGCAGTGAAAATGATTTGATTTTGTAATGTAGTGCTGATGTCACATATCTTAGATTTAGAACAATAAATGACTGTGTCCTCAGCATAAAGTTGAATATTGCATCCAGTACAGCTACGCGGAAGATCATTGATAAATATTGAAAATAATAAAGGCCCCAAAGAGGAGCCTTGAGGAATTCCTCTATCAATGACTGTGAACTGAGACAAACTGCCCCCAAAGGACACACACTGGCGACGATTATGTAAATAAGAATTAAACCAAAGCAAGGAAGAGGTAGACAAACCAAAAGAGTACAATTTGTCTAAAAGTAAATAATGATCAACTAAGTCAAAAGCTTTAGTTAGATCTAAAAACAATGCACCTGTACACATACGATTATCAAAACTCGAGAACACATCATTAGTAAATTTAAGACGCCTGTAGTGGTGGAAAAATGTTTTCTGAATTCTGAATAAATAAAGGCTCAGTGCTTTTTAAAAGTTAAAAAATTTTCTGTGTCACGTCCCTCATGTGTATTTCCCTCATTAAATGTAAAATGCATGTTATATTTTTCTAATGTCTGGACTCATTTATTAATAAATATATATATATATATATGCATGTATGTATATATTTAAACGGAGGTTTCAATAGCCTAAATGCATTTTCTGAGAATTTATATTTCAGGTTTTGACTGCAAATGTCTCGCATAACGCTGGACTCGCCCAATTTTAAATAATTTATCCTCACCTAGTTTTTTGGTGTAGTCTACGAATTTTATAATGTTTGGTGTAGTCTACAAATTTTATTACGTTAACTTCAAATAATACAAATAGTAAAAAATAAAGATATGGTAGATATATTGGATCTGGACGGGAAGGATATCTCTTGGACCACCATATTTAAATGCGTAATTGAATTAAAAACTGGTTATCACTGTCATTCATTGCAAAGAATGACAAGAAACAGGACAACATTTTTAAAATTACTTAATTTAACATTTTTGCTCTTTTACCAAGAACAAGTAGCCTGTGGAATTTGCTCTGCAAGTTAGTCTGGCAAAGAGCTCATTCAAGCCCATTTCTAATCCGTCAAAATCGCGGTACCAATCAGAAACGCGGGGGCAGCGACGACAGCACAGCGTTGGAACTAAGGGTGTGACTGACTGTTATAGTAGAACACCGTCATTAGAACTCCTTATACTACAGGTCTGTTGAATGCCTGATTCTGATTGGTTGAGAACGTTCTAAGGTGTGCAATTATTTTCAGGGAAACGCACGGCTAAAGTAGTTTTAGGCAGGTTTGACCGCGTTACAGTTCCATACCACTTCGCGTTGTTAACTTTAATAAGAGAAAATAGGATACAATTCATAACAAGAAAAATACATGCAGCCCCATGCGATTGATCTGCAATTTTCAATGTCTAACTTCACAATCAGTGGACGCATACAGTTTAATTTTAATAAATAAAGTATTTAGTCCTATCTATAATAGGCTAAATAGAAAATTAAACTGAATAGGCTATATAAATAAATTGATGGTCCTGCTGCATGGATTTTCTTAATTATTTCAGATAACATAACAAATAAGTAATTAATAACTAAATAATAAAGGGCTTTGTGTCTTTCATTTACTGGGTTATCTACTGTCAATTATAGAAAACCAGAATGAAAAAAATAATTAAAACGATAATAATAAATAAATAATAATATTGACGCACATGCTTTTCTGTCTCATTATTTCAACATCTCTCTCTCTCTAATTACTGCATTAATAACTGCATTAAGCCGGGACACACTTAGGCCTACTAAGGCCAGTTATGAATGTAATTTGATACTTATGACTTATCGTGCCTAAATTCGTGTTCAGCGCGTTCAGTCTGTGTTCACACAGTTGGTGTTTAAGACCTGCTACAGTCGATGGAAACAGTCTGTCTTCGAATATTTCAGCGAGTCGTAAGTGTGTCCCCCATCATTAGTCTGCTTTCAGTGGCTCAAACCTCCGTTACTACCTCTAAAATTACGTTTTTGAATTGGCAACGGAGGCATGGGATTAGATGCGTAAGAAATTAGGCCTACTTACAGTAGTGTTTTAATAACAAACATTCAACAAATGTCTTGAAATGCATCATCTGAACAATGTTTTAAGGTGTGGTAACTGTAGAATAAGCAGAATAATTGACTTCAGGCCATTGAATTATTAGAAAAATAATGCACTCCCGAGGTGTAACGGCCGCTTCGCATGTACGTCTCACCGCACCGGCACCCAGTGTGCACGTCTAAATTGCAAAATTCATTACATTAAGTTTTTTTGTTAAGGTTTTGTTTACTTTGTGTGATTTATTTAATGGAAAGCAAAGCACATTCAGTTCTAGCTGTCTTGCTGTTAATTTTAAATAAATGTCGAGCAAGTAGCTAATCAGTGTCTGTTCGTTTATTCAAACTAAGTTGTTCTATAACTGACGAACGTCGCTCTGCATGTCATTTCCTTCATCGCTCTGATTGGTTTTAGGTCTATCCAATTGCGCCCAGAGGCATTTGAGCTACATCCATTGGTGACGCCCCTTTGGAATTGATTTGTCTATGAGGCTTTGCCAGACCATAGCTTTGCCGGTACAACTGAGAATGGTCTGGTTTTAACTAGGCTAAAGAACAACTCCACTTGTAAACACACCCAATAAAACATGTTCCTAAAGGAAATAATGTTGTTTTTTTTTGCTCTAAATTTTCAAGGACACTAACTCGTAATGATTTGGTGGAATACATCAATAGCCATTATAAAGCTCCTCGCATGGTCCTGGCTACAGCTGGAGGTACTGCTCTTGAACTATTATTAAACTGGTCATGCAGTAGTGTTATAATAGAAAAGCCACAGACAGCAAAGTTTATTGCTTAAATACTGTATTTCTGTTCTGCTGTAGGAGTGAACCATGATGACCTTGTGGCTCTGGCTAAGCAGCATTTCAGTGGTGTTTCATTTGAATATGAGGGTGATGCTGCACCTGTTCTGTCCCCATGCCGTTTCACTGGGAGTGAGGTATGAATTGCGTGTATGTTTAAGAGGTGCTTATTTTCTTGCCATAACTTGACTTGCCATTACTTTCTATCTTGCTTTCAGATTCGTATGCGTGATGATGCGATGCCCTTAGCACATGTTGCTATAGCTGTAGAGGGAGCTGGAGCTGCAAGTCCTGATATTGTGCCACTCATGGTTGCCAATTCCATTATTGGTAGTTATGACATCACATTCGGAGGTGGCAAGGTTAGTTTATTACATTGGTTAAACTTCTATTTCCTTAACTTGTGCGTGCGCGCGTGTGTGTGTGTGTGTGTGTGTGTATATATGAAGAGTTCAGATGCAAAAGCCTCTAAATGCCATTTGAAATTTTCTTCTTTAATGATGATTTTTATCAAACTTGTATATTTAAGTTCAGTAATTTCCCTTAAATAACAATTAATAGGTAATTATCATTGCCATTTAAGTGAAATTACTGAACTTAAATATATGAGGTTGATAAAAATGATCATTCTAGAAGAAAATTTCAAATGGCACTTAGAGGCTTTTGCATCTGAACTCTTCATATATATATGAAGAGTTCAGATGCAAAAGCCTACACAAATACACAAATATATATATGTGTATTTTTTTTTTATTTTTTTTTTGCATGTATGGAGTAGAAGTAGGAATCTATGTACCTATGATGGTTCCTGGAAAATTCTAGTAGGAGAGTCTTTCTTTGTGTTTTAATGAAATGCAGCATAGAGCAACCTTAAACTTGGCTATTGTAAATCAGTTTGTCTCTCGATTACTTCATGCACAGGAATGATAAACTCAAATTATTTACATATTGTTTCTGATCATGTCCATCCTTTTATGGCCACCATGTACCCATCCTCTGATGGCTACTTCCAGCAGGATAATGCAGCCTATTAATAATAATAACTTAATTACTAAAGCTCGAATCATTTTAAATTGGCATCTTGAACGTGACTATGAATTCACTGTACTAAAATTGCCCCCACAGTCACCAGATCTCAACCCAATAGAGCATCTTTAGATAGAGCATTATACATGCAAACACATGTATGGTCAAAAAAGAGAGAGGTAATTGAAGCCCTCGCCCCGCGGAAAATATCCAGAAACTTACATTGCCACCAACCCCTGCCATCCCCGGCCCACCCTTAGGCACATATAGTAAATATGTTTCAGCCTTTAAATCATTAAAAAAAAAAAAGAAGGAAAAAAAAGAAAAACCTCCTATATTGCAGCCTTTTAATAATTTTTCACACCAAAAAAAAAAGGTTTTATAAAAAGAAAAACCTCCTATATTTCAGTCTTTATATCATTTTTATAAAAATAATGAGTCAAAAAAATTAATTACTTGACATTTACATTAATGCATATTTGCTTACCTTTTATTATAGACCCTTTTACTGTTTGTACAAAATGATGACGTGGCTACGTATGCACGTGCATATTGGCAACGGAAGTATGGCGAGAATCAGCAGTGGTCAAGCAACGTGAGCGGATTAAGCAACACAGACAGAGAAAGTTACTTAAAAAAAGTTAACTTCTATCAAATGTTATCCGGCTATCAGATCCGTGTACTAAAGTGGAGTCGATAGAAGACTGCGTATTTAGTTGAGAAACCGAGCGTGTACACCTGAGAGAAATTACGAGCATATAAATCACTGGCGTACAGAACGCCAAATACCATGACATAGACACAGACTTTTGTGTGTTGAAATCAGAAATTCTTCCTAGTCAAAGACAAGGACACGAAAGACAACAATGTATGACTATGAGGCTTATAATCAACCATATTACCCAGACCTACATTTGTTTTCCTTCATTTTTCCCTACATTCATTCTTTTCCATCATTCTTTCCTATATTTATTATTCTTCTTCACCCAGACCTACATTTATCCTTGTCCTTACATTTTATGTTGTTATTGATTGCTGTGTTGACGCACTTTTGTTTAAAGTTTTATTTTGTACTTTAATAGTAACTATGTTGCTTGCATACATTGCAATTAAACTACTAATAACAATTACAAATGAAGTTGAAAAGCACTGTGAATGTAGACAGGAGCATTTTTTTATTATGTCCTCGCTCCAATCAATACGTTTAATCGCCTGCAGCCACAGGTGCCGCTGGTTCTTTTGAAACGGCCGTGATCCTGTCGGAATCCTCTAAAACCTTGGTGGAATATCGATTAGTGCAAACTGCGTCTGTCTATGAGGCGCCGGACTGGACAAAAGGGAGGTGAACTCCGTGAGAGACAGAGTGTGACTTTATTTAAACTTATATAAACGAATATAATTTATATTACTGGACGGTTTAAAGCTCATAACGATATATTGTTGTTACTTGAAGAGTGCAGTGTTATGTTGCATCATGCAGTATTTGTCCTGAAAAGGCTACCGAGTAAATGTCTGTATTACCTCAATAAATTTAAGGTCATTCCTTATTTATTTGTATGTTTTTAATACATTTTAATCATTAACTTTAAAAGCATACTATTTTTACAAATAAAATAAGTCAAATTTCCAAAAATTAAAACGAAAAAACGAAATTTGGAAAAAAATAAAACGGAATTTGGGAAAAAATAAAATGGATTTCATAGGGCCCTATATCCTATCAATACGGGCCAACATTTCTAAAGAATGATTTCAGCACCTTGTTGAATCAATACCACACAGATTTAAGGCAGTTCTGAAGCCGAAAGGACACAGTATTAGGCTACGTTCACACTGCAGGGCTTAATGCTCAATTCCGATTTTTTTTTAAAAATTCGATTTTTTTGCAAGGCCGTTCACATTTCCAAATAAATGCGACCTTTTGTGATCTCTTGTGTGAACGTGAAATGACCCAGAAGTGACCCGCATGCGCAGAAGAGTAATCAACGGTCAACGACGTCATTTGTTGTTTGCGGAATAGTTCTTTTTTTTTTTCATGTGTTGCGAGCTTTTGTTTTATTATTATTATTGCCACAGCCCATATACAAACAGACAATAATTATTTTATCGACGGGCAGTTTGCACATAAATGTAAGATTTTTCCGATCCTCAACGACCTCGTCATAAAACCTGTTTAATTGATAGTTCGTGTCCGCGGCACTCCTTGCTTTGTCACCGGCGGCCGCGCTGCAAAACTGGTGGCTGGTGTTGCCAGATTGGGTGTTTATTCGCTACATTTTAAGGCATGTTTACATGTGTTTTAGCCAGGTTTTCGCCTGGAAGGTTCTATAGATATCTGGCACCCTACTGTACAAAGTTATACTGACAGAGAGCGCACGTTCACAGACACCAGAATGAACGTGTTCACAGTAATGTTCATCAGGCAGTAATACAGTACGTTTATTTTGTACTGTATATGAACGCGAAATATGAACGCGTTCATGCACTATCGTACATTGAACGCGTTCAGGCACAACACTGGGGAAGAGACACGTCTGCAGTGGCCCATAACAGTGAGGAAACGCGTTGGAGTTAGCGTGTATTGGCTGGCTACAGGTGCTTGCAATGACGTGCGGGTCGGATATATGTGACCTGGCCGTTCAGATTGAAGTCGCATTTCAAAAGATCGGATGCATATCGGATTTAGACCACATACCCAAGTGGCCTGGGTCGCATTTGAAAAGATCGGATCTGTGTCGTTCAGACTGTCATGAAAAAATCAGATACAGGTCGCATAGGGGCAAAAAAATCGGAATTAGGTCGTTTCAGCCTGCAGTGTGAACGTAGCCTTACTATGGTGTTCCTAATAATCCTTTAGGTGAGTGTACAATATTGTAAAAATAGGGTAGATTAACATAATCAATTAAATATCCACTATTGACCAATATATGTCCAATATCAGTATATTATTGTATTGTTATTGGCAACATGAAAAATAACTGATATGGTACCAATATAAAAGCCTGAGCTTTCAAATACTTTCAATTACATCATGAAATTGACACCATTCAATGTCCATAACTTGTTGGTCAACTAGAAAAAGTAACTCGATCGAAGCATTTTGCTGAATATATTCAATACTTTACTTACTTATTTGATTATTAACTTGCTTATTTACTCATCAATTTGCTTTTCTTATTTCTTCGTTTTATACATGATAATCTTTTTATATTTTGCTAGCAAAGGTGGATTGTTTATTATAGGCTAAATCAGGTTATTTACAGGTAGGGATGGGTATCGTTAAGGTTTTATCGGTATTACTACTTTTACCGATACCGCTTATCGATCCGGTACTTTAACGGTATTCTTATCGGTTCTTTATGGTGTTTTTTTTTTTTTTTTTTTTTTTTTTTTAAGAATTAAGAACATAATTAAACTCTATATTTTGAAATGTAAAATAGAAAAAGCAAAACGAAGAAAAATATATTTAGGCAGCAATGTGCAGGCTTTTTTGTTTTATATACAAAAAGGACACATAAGAAAAAAAAACAAGTAAAAACACAAGAATAAAATCAATCAAAGATACAAATTATATACAAAAGGGCTTTAATTTCAGTTAGGTGTACGAACATATCTTTTCAGGTAGCCTAATTGTTTCTGTCTGAAAAGAAACCTAATTTAGTAATCAAATATAAAATAGCACTGTATAGTTTATCATAGATAGATTAATGCTTATTAAATCTAAAGTTACTTATTCCAAAGCTGTGGGTGATTTTTTTTCTGCCTTTTGTTGTTTGATTTGCATTAATGGCTGAATCGTCAGCAGGTTTAGGCTATTAGACTGCTGCCCCTTTAAGACCGAGGGGAAATCTAATCGGTAACCGGTAACTGAAGCACCATCAATTTCTCCCTATTATTTACGTCCATTTAAGACATAATTGTGTTTAAGTGAATAAACTGTGTTTAAGCGAATCTCAGAGCTGGTCATTTTGACATTTGTATGTATATTTGATAGTTAAGGAGGACACACGAAGCCCAAAGTATAGGCTACTTTTCTTGTCTCGTTGCAGTCCGTTTCGGAGCGCGCACCGCCTTGTGAACAGGCTCTTGCGCAGGCTTTTGTGTTTTTAATAGCCATTTTTTGATCTTGCAACAGTAGAAGACAGCATTTTGCAACAATCGCCGATCGTGCTGATTCTGACTGTACGTTTGGGTACAGCGCTCCGCAGTGCTGTGACGTAAAGGAAGTTAAGCTGGACAGATATGCGTCTTGTTTTTTAACGGTTTCATCTCAAATATTTTCTTTTTATAATCTTTGGAAGCCGAAATACAAAATATATTAGAATAATATCCCACATCTAAAGTGTAACCACGTTGAATGTTTAGTTCTGTCCTCATTGTCACTCATTAAGCAGGGCTGTCGTGTTGCGCGTGCTGTGGCTTTGCGTGAGAGATCGCTCTCTCTCTCTTCTCTCTCTCTGCTGAACTGCTAATTTCAAATTTGCATCACAGACAAGGGTTTAATTAAAATATAGTTTATATAGAGAAAAGGCTGGCGATATAAACATGTTCAAGATAACGTCTGAATAGGAATGATAAATAATTTCTCCAGTACCGACAGCAGAACCGATAACGTCCGAGCTTATCGATACAGCGGTCTTTCAAAATTCAGCACCGGGGCCCGTTTAATACCGGGTTTCGGTACCCATCCCTATTTACAGGTATTGTGAGGTAAAAAAAAAGATCCTCCTAATCATTTTTGTATCTGATTTTGTATTTCAACATGTCAGTGGTACATGTACGGACGCACATTATCCTCTCATGGACTTACAGATGCAGCATTTTGACTGTACTTCTGCACTAGATGAGAACACGTTTTAATAATTTCTTGGGTCAAGAAAGAGTTGGAGTTTGCAATATATGTCCTCTCACCAGTGTTCTCTGTCTGGATGCACGCACATAATGCGCACTTCAATAAGCCCAAAAAACGTGAGTTCATGCGTTTTAAATGCCGGGGGAAATCAGAGTAGCCTAAGGGGCAAAAATCAGAGTAGCCTAAGGGGCAAGAGTCTGATAAAGGAAAACAGGTTAATGTATTTACATGACCACAACCATTGTCAGTTTATTCAGCATAATCAGATTAAGAACGTGCATTGTAAACGCGCTCATTCTCTAAAAATTGAAAGTAGAAACCGACTAAGCTTTCGGCATCTGTCGCTGCATTAACGCTGCAAGACGACGGATGGATGTAACGGTATAGCGACTATCCTAATTTACTAGCTTAATATTTCTCTTGTGGACCTACATTAATGACAGTAAAAAAAAATTAAGAATATTTCTTGTTAAACAAGTGTTTGAAGCTGCTTTTAAATTTTCACAGATAGCAGAGTTGTGTTGTGTTCTAAAGACTGTTATTAGGCCTATATAATTTTAGTGATATTATTATTGCCATTACATATACGTTCTTTGATATAGCGACAGATGTGTATGGAAGTGAAAAAACGGAAATACCTGTTTTCTGGTTTGAACGATGGGTGCTCTGCATAACCCCTATTGTAAATTAGTTAAGCATGGAACAAATTGTAATTTATCAAGTAAAATTGTGGTTGCATTATGATCATGAAATAATGCTAGTCTTTATTTGTATGTTGTATACAGCACTTAAGCAGTCGTCTAGCTCGCCTGGCTGCAGAGCTGAACCTGTGTCACAGTTTCCAGGCTTTCCACTCCTCATACAGTGACACTGGACTGCTGGGTATTTATTTTGTTACGGACAAACATAAAATAGAGGACATGATGCATTGGGCTCAGAATGCCTGGTAAGTCGCTGGCATGCCTTCAGCTATTCCTGACAATACAATTGTCATCTGATGTGTTATAGTCCTATTTGAGTTGATTAATGCGTGCTGTTTCTGTTACAGGATGAATTTGTGCACCACAGTGACTGAGAGCGATGTGGCTCGAGCCAAAAATGCTTTGAAAGCTAGCTTAGTGGGACAACTCAATGGTAATAAACTCAAGCATACTCATCATTACCCATACACAATCTATACATTGTCTCTCTTTGCATCAAATCTGTGTAAATATATTAGGCATGGATTCAGTTGCATTTTAGTATCTGCAGGTTGGAGTAATGAGCATGATGGTGTGGGGAAAGGTCTTTATCATTGGTCTTAAAGGGTTAGTTCACCCAAAAATGAAAATTCTGTCAGTATTTACTCACCCTCATGTTGTTCCAACCCCGTAAGACCTTCGTTCATCTTCGGAACACAAATTAAGATATTTAAGATATTAAGATCGCTCCTGCATACAGTCCATAGGCTTCTTGAGGGACTGGCTCTTGCTGTCCTCGAAAAGTCATTAAAGACATCGTTAAAATAGTCCAAGTGACTACAGTGGCTCAATCTTAAGTTTATCAAACGACGAGAACACTTTTGTGCGCAAAAAAACAACAAAAATAACGACTTTATTTCAACGACTAATATTTAGATCTGGTGACTGTGCAGACCATGGGAGATGTTCAACGTCACTTTCATCTTCATCAAACCCTTCTGTCACAAGTCTTGCTGTGTGTGTTGGCGCATGATCATGCTGATACACGGTTTGAGCATCAGGTGCTCATGATCCTCCAGAAGGGTTTGGTAGTCCTCTGCAGTGTCGTGTCCATCAAATACAATCAGGATTGTCATGATATTGGAGCTCAAACCATCACTGATCCACCCGTGCTTCACTTCACTTCAGAAGATTGGCTGCCAGGCATATAGATGTGAAACCTCCAACATTGGCCAGTGTTTCAGTTTCATTGTCCAACCCCTGTAGTTCAATCTATTGTATAGTAGCCTAATATAATTCTTTCTGTCAATTTCTTTAGGTTAAACCAAACATTTATTTTGACGGGTTGCCGTAAAGACCTTTGAGTTTCTGCGCGTGCATGATATGACGATAGTTTTTTCTCAAATGAAATGGTAAAATGCATGAAGTGACTCGGAGATGAATGGAATCGTGAATCATGTCATCATATCATGAAGCAGCAGAGACTGAAAACAGTGTGAGCGTCACTCGTGCTTCTGTGTGTGCGCGTGTAAGAGGTAACATTAAATGAAACCGCGCGTCTGCGCCGTTCATTCACACAGAGACAAGCAGAACATGCAGGGTTCATATTTAAATAGTTGCTTTGCTGTTTAATATACACACACCACATCAGCAGCGCCGGTCACCATGTCTCAGCGCCTTCATGAATAGGACGCAGCTTCACAAAAAAATGCTTTACCATCAACTCTGTTAGAGAGCTACATGGTAATGTAGAATATAATCTGTGCAATAAAATACCTTACTCGCAAAACAGCATCAAATCCCTCAGTTCTTGCAATCTCTGAAAAGCCAAACCAATGTTGATTCTTGTTTTATTATAAAGTCTGTCGTGTTCTCTTCTGTCCTGCACACTAACATATGCCACGCCCACATCACACAACTATCAATACCCATTTGGCATCTCAGTCAGACAGCTGCCTTCTAAAAATCAGCATCCTTAGAGACGCTTTGGACAACTTGTAATTTCAGTGGAGAAAATCAAATAGTTCATTGTAATATACATTTACATAATTCACCTGCTATATTGATGAATTTAACACATAGTAATTTGAAAAAGAATTAAAAACAAAACAAAACAAATAGCATGATCTGCAGATACTCTGGGTTACTGTATCTAAATTGGAAATAAAGTGGGATCGAGCCATCCTTACTAGTTATGACAAGCACATTAGTTTTACTCAACCTATAACCTGTAACGAGTATTTGTGTGAAAAAATACCCATTTTTTTTATTTTATTTTTTAGTCTCATGTCACCGAGGTTTATTTCAAAATCTAATCTGCATTGTAGTTGGGCTTGTTTCATTGTGATGGTCTGATCTGTAATCGCTTACTACTACTTGACAGTGACACAATCCGAATATTTGTTGAAATATTAAAAAAAACAAAAAAAAAAACAAGCCCAAACGAGCCCAAAAACAACGTAACCTGTTGCCTCAGTGCGATGTGACCCTATTTTTGCAAAACAAATGCTTTTCTTTTTGGTCAAATACTATACACCCAAGTAATTAGAAATTCTCTGGTACACACAAGTATTTTATGTTTTTAAACTAATTAAGATTTCATCTTTCTATCAGACTACTATGTATAATATCCTTTCTGTTCTCAGGAACTACACCTGTTTGTGATGACATTGGCAGGCACATTCTAAATTATGGTCGCCGCATCCCATTGGCTGAGTGGGATGCCAGAATTGAGGTAAATTGTCCACGTTAAAAATGCCACTGTACTGTTTGAGATTAATTCGATTTTAAGAGTACCATTTTGTTTTTGTCTTGGTAGGCTGTGACTCCCAAGATTATCCGTGATGTCTGCTCTAAATACATCTATGACAAATGCCCAGCTGTGTCTGCAGTCGGTGAGTCCATTTATTTTTATTTAAAGGTTCTCTAAGCGATCCTGGGTGTTGACGTTTGGAATATTTTCAAACAAATCAGAGGCTAGCTAGACCCTCCCTCCTCCGTATCTCATCTCCTCACCCTCCCTTCCGTGCTTCCTGAAATAATTGTGAACGTGCATAGTTCTAGCTAATTATATCCTTGTGTGGGTTTGGTGAACATAAGCGTCAATTTAGAAGAACAAAAAACAATTTAACGTTACCCACCTGTCCAGCAAAAACAGAGCAACCTGAATGTCGGACTGGAAGCCCTTCTGCCGCCGGAGTTCTCGCCATCGTTCAAAAGCTTTGCTACCGATGTAAATTCGGAACTTCGCACGTTCTTTATCCGACTCCTTCTTTTTAATTTGTTCTTCAGAACGACGTCTCTTTGGTCGTGTGTCGGCCATTTTTCAAACTTCCCTCTGATGCTTCCCTAGATGCGTCTCTCTCCTTCACACACACACACTCCCTTCGTGTGCACGCGCACTAACCCCCCAGACCCACCCTCAAATACTTCTTGCCAGTGATTGGCTGGAACACTGTTTGTTAGGTTTCGTGGTCCGGGTGAGACATGATTGTTTTTGTTGCCGTTTGTGGAGCCTGTGGTGTCTACAGAGACCGCGTTTTTTTACAGTGTGTTTAGGGGACAGGCAGCTAGCCGATAGTGAGGAGACGTTTGATGTATGTGACAAAAAATGTTTTGGCCCCACATCGCTTAGAGAACCTTTAATATACACTTTTAGATTTTTTGCAGTTCTACATTGACATGAATAAACGTGGGCTTCTTTTTTTATATATTAGCATGTCATATAAATGTCTGAATATATACTATTAAATTGATAAAAATTGCTACACATCCAACCCAATGCTGTGATATTGAAATTGGTATTAAGAATCATGAAATTTCACTTGTATTGATAGTTTTTTTTTTTGGTAACCTTTCGTACTTTTCTTTCTCAATGCAGGTCCAGTAGAGCAGCTACCAGATTATAACAGAATGAGAAGTGCTATGTACTGGCTTCGATTTTAAATGTTCTTTGGGCTGTCAGCTCTGCAATTTTTGTCCTCTCGTCTTATTCATACCCTTATCTTGTATGAATTTGATGGGTGACATATTTGTCATCTCTTATAAAAGCTCAGATGAAGAGGAATAATGTGGTAAATATACATTTGGAATGTCCGACATGGGGCAGAGCTATTTATGTGGTTTTATTTCAGTCCCTTTTTGTATATATATATAGCAATACCTCTCATACCAACTTCAAATAAAACCCTGTCACATCTAGTGTTTTTGATTTTGTTTTAGTTGCTTTATGAAAATTACTCATTCAGCTTCTAAATGGGCTGTAAACTTATTTGTGGGTTAAGGAGAGAATGGGAAGGACTATTTGTTAAAGAAATAAAGGACGTTTACGTGACCGCTTTTAAAATATTCTAAGGATGATTGGCTATTTTTGCTATTGTCAACATACACTAGCACACTCACCCTTTTAAGTTTTGCATCGGAGCATTCTGAGGATGTCAATCTTGTGATTCCATCAAAGGAGCTAGTTAAAAAAAACAAGACATTTTTATGCAAACTTGTCCACACTTTATTGTTTTAGAAGTGCAATATTTGATGTTTGAATAGACCTGGAGTGATGTAATCAAATATTTTTGCAACTGTAGATTACACAATCTGTTAAGCAAACACCGACTTCATTGATTAAAATTGTTCATTCTAATGTTAATTTAACAGCGGATCCACAAGGTAACACTTTAAAAACAATGGATTTAAGATCAACAGTTGACTTGGTCTCAGGAGGTCTTGTTCATGTTTCTACTTTTTTCCTCAGAGTAAGAAAAGCTAAACATGTATAACTGAAAATGCTTTTAACTGCTGCTGATCAGATCACACAATAGCCTGCTACATACGAAATGGATTCACATTCCAAATGTACTAATACTATAATACTGTCTGTAATCATAATTTTGTCACAGCAGTATTATTTCCAGCAAACAACAATGTTCGGATCATTCTCCAAACGCTCATCCAACTCCCTGTAACTCATTCCTGAAAATGCATGAAAGGAATGTCACTGGTTTAAAGGAATATTCATGTGAAAAAGCAATAACATACTTAATACTTGCCAGTTTTGCAACAGATTTCATCATAACTATGGCAGCCAGTGTAAAGTCTCGGTGGACGACTCCTATCATCTCTGACAACCTTGACTGGATATTTCTGCAGGCGCCGAATCAGACCTTTCATCAAGCCAAACTGAATCAGCTTCCTGCAATAACATGTATAAAAGTAAAATATTTATTTTATATAGCATATTTTCTTACAGCTCAAACTGGTACTAACCAACAGCTAAATGAGCCAAAACAATCTTAATATATAATCTTTACATATTGTTCTTCTGTAGTACAGAAAACAAGACTGACATGCCTTAGTGGCATGTTCATTTTGGGGATTTAAGTGTGAACAACAATCAAATTCAAATAGCCTTGCCTTTCATCCACTCTCTGTAGCTGGTGAGAATAGCGGGAACAGAGGTCACGCACAGTTGTACCTGGGGTCAAACCACAATACAACTGGAACACATCCCTGAGACTTGTCCTTTGGCCTGGTGACATGTGCATATAGTAAAATGTCTAATGTGAACTAGAAACATTTCACACTCATACACGTACAATTATATTTAAAATATCTGTACTTGCTCACCTAGCTTACAGACGTAATGTAGACACTCTTCCTGAAGACACTTGTTATCTATCAAGTTTTGTACTTTAGGTGTTGTACAATAAACATTTGAGTACTGAAGAATATGAAAACCAAAAAGCAAAGTAAGAAAAATTATTTATCATTAAATTTAGAAGAAACAACAAAAACTTACCTGAAATATGGATACCAGAATTACCACTTCATAATACCTGTGAAACAGTACCATTGTTCAGTCCATTACTCTTTGAAGAAATGTGTAGTTTTTACAACACAATAACTATTGTAACGATCTATTAATGGTTTTAATGCATTTCATTTTTTACAATTTCATCAGGTGCTAGATTTTCATGCATTCGTCATTGTATCTATACATTTCTGTCAAGAGTCAAAGTGATTCCTTATGTCAGGAGGTATTTCCAAATTACAAGAATAATCTGGGTTAAAAACAACTTGAACTCTGGTACAAATGTATGCCATAGATGCTGCTGACAAGAGTTTAAATGCAGAAATAGCAAAATGCAAAGCAAAACCAAAGGTGCCAGAAATGTTTTGTATTGATTTCTTTATCTACATTCCAAATTTTACACTTTCTCCTCCATGTTCACAGGAGAGAAATTTTGCACCAAGCTCGAGCCATGAATGTGTAGTCCCAATATCAATCATTATCAAAAATCTCGGTCCTGGAGGGCCACTGTCCCTGCAGAGTTTAGCTCCAACCCTGATCAAACACGCCTACCTGTGAGTTTCTAGTGATTCTGAAGCTTGCTCAGGTGTGTTTGATCAGGGTTTGAGCTAAACTCTGCAGGTACAGTGGCCCTCCAGGACCGAGATTGGTGAACCCAGTGTTAAACTTTGAATTTAGCATAGCTATGCTGGGCTAGAATAAAAGTAGGGGCTGTGCCATGGTGACTTAAATGGTAATAAAAATGAAGATTTATCTGCAATTTTAATTAAACTTAATGTTAATGGAAATAATATGAGAAAAATATCCCTGCTAGTTATTAATGCTGTGTGTAATAATGCAATACCCATACTTGTCTTGGGACAACTTTGATGAACTTTTTTTTAACCAAATCAAATGTTGACTACTATGTGCTAGGCAGACCACCCATTGTTAATGCACTCATGTCTCTTAACCCGCTGAAACACAAGTAACTAAAGATGCATTAAAATGGTGTTCTCATCATTATAATGTAAACTACTCCCACTTTTCCACAGCTTTACACGCCCATTTCTGGAGTCTTTTTACAAATCTGAGGTGTGAATGATAAAAATGATAAAACGGGGGTTTTATGGCACTTTAAAGATATTTTTGTTCTTATGTAACTTTTATTATACTTTTTCCAAAATAAAAACTTTTGGCTAAGCCAAAGCCAGCAGAAAACAAATGCAGAACACAGAATATTTAATATTATTTAATAATATAAAGGGGTCATGAACTGGCTTTTTAAATTTTATTATACTGTTGTCTGAGGTCAACTTATGACGTTCGCTTGGTTTTTGCACTCAAACACATTCAAATGAATAAGTAATAGGCTATTTTCTATCCAAGTTTTTAGCCTACCTCAGAGCCATGTATGAAAAACCTGAAAAACGCTGGATTTTTATGGGCATCTTGCACTGAAGACTTGGAAGTAAACGCCCACTGCTGTGAGTGGATAACAGTTTTGCATATTATAATGAGTCCTGTCGATGCACTTGGGGGATATTGTTTTGAAACGTCCAATGTTGTAAAATGGCAACCGGAATGATTCGCCCGCATACATGTTCGACCGAGAGTCCGTGAGTTGCACAATTCCTGTCAGATCCAATATAGACGGCACAGCACCTTTCTTTACTCTTAATCGGTCTGCAAATCCAGTCTTGTTTACAGGACAATCCTAAGTGAAATGAAGCGAACAGACGGACAATGTTTTACCTCATCAGCTGGAACGTCATTAAAAATAAAGTTTATCCATGCAGTCCTATTGGAATCCAGAGTAATCTTATGCAGTGACTGTCTTCTTCCACAACTAGGCACTGCGCAATATTTTGTATTGCTCGGTAGATCGATCCGGTTTGTCATCACGAGGTAGGCCTATGTTATTTAGCTATGCGTGATTGCGTGTAATGCGAGAATCGGTGGGCGGGGCTAAACCGGCCGTGTTATAGTAGGAGATGATCTTCTTCTGCAGGGGTGGTGTTTTATCCTCTTTGTCGTCATAGTTCCCCACATTTAAAAACGAGTCGTTTGCTGGGTCTGGTGTCAATAAAAGCTTATTTTGGACTAATAAGGACGTTTTCAGTTCTGAAACTTACAGGACATTTTTATAATATGATGACCTCTTAGATGTCAAAATCTCAAGGAAAATTTGATTTCTCAGTTCATCACCCCTTTAATATTAATATTATATTTAACACAGAATATTCTTTTAAATAAGTTATTATTGAGATAATAACTGCAGCTCAAAACAGGAATAATATCATACTTACAATAAATTCTGAACAGCAATCCGCACCAAATTAAGCTCAACGTCGGCCTCAGCTGAGATCTTTTGAATGTGTCGATACCCATCTACAAAGGGTAGGATCTGCAAAAAAAGTAATCAAAATATATATTAAAAATGATATAAATGAAATATTTCTGGTAACAAATTATATTTGAAGGCAGTATGCCTAATACTAAAATAATATACCCGTTTCACACTGCAAGTGAGCGGCACGCAAAACGATGGCTATGGTCAGTATTACAAACTACTTTTTTTTTTTTAAATCTTATTTGTAATTTATCTAAATTGAGAAATCAAACCTTGTTGTATAACCAAACCTTAATTGTTATAAACTGCTCAGATTAGTCTTGTTTCAGTCACGCTGTGATAAAAAGTACAGTGTAATGTGAAAAAAACTTTCTCTGAGCCAGACAATAGAACTATTTCAAGGTATTTTCTTCTTTTTTTCAGTAGCACCTCATTGCAGTACACAAGATCCAGGGGGTGGAGTTGGATCCAGATCTAAGGGGTGGAGATGGGTAGGATTAGGGGTGGGGTTAGGGATCAGGGGGCAGAGATGGGTAGTATTAGGGATCAAGGTGCGGAGATGGGGAGGTTTAGGTATATGCAAGGTTAGGGTTGGGGTCAGATTCTTGATCCAACTCCTCCCCCTGGATTTTGTGTTCTGCAGTGATGACCATATCTCTTTTTTTTTGTTTTCAGACATACTCCATAACAAAAGACACTACACTAAAAAAAAAAAATAAAAAAAAAATCGCAGATTTTATAAAATTTATAATTTCTCCTGCTTTACAATGTGAACACCTTGTATGGACACAAAATAAAACATTTTAAAAGATAATTGCGACTTTTTATCTCATAATTGCGAGTTTATATCTTGCAATTCTGACTTTATATCTTGCAATTGAGAAATAGTCCGAATTGCAAGATGTAAACTTGAAGTTGCGTGTTATAAAGTCAGAATTGCAAGATATAAACTCGCAATTCTGACTTTATCTCTCAATTGCGAGTTTATATCTCACAATTCTTAATTTATAACACTCAATCGCATGACCGAATTGCGCAATATAAACATGCAATTATGAGGGTGAAACCGTCCGAATTTATTTCTTGCAATTGTGACTTTATATTGCACCATACTGACTTTATAACTCGCAATTGTGACTTTATATTGCGCAATACTGACTTTATAACTCGCAATTGTGACTTTATATCACACAGTACTGAGATAAAAAGTAAGAAATGTGAGATAAAAAGGTCGCAATTACCTTTTTGATTTTTTATTTTAAGGCACAAACAAGCTCTTGTTTGTTAACATGGGTGGTAAAAACAACAACAAAAACACTGCACTACTCATGCACCACTTAAACGTGCAATACAAAACAGGGCTTAATTTTCCATGTCGGATTTACTTTTTTTTTAAAAGTTAAATAAAGACAGTAAACAGTGGGGAAGATTTTTTGTAGACCTGTTGTGTGGTGAGATCCCATTGGGACTTTATAAAGTGGTCTTTATTCTTAGTAAATACTGGTACATCATACTCCTGAACAACCTGAGGATCTTTCCTTTGTTCAATTAGCTTCAAGTGGATGGTGTTAGAGTCATCTATTATGAGAGAGGGAGATAGGATGATTATAAAAACAGTGAGAAACACTGATAGGGAAACAGAGAGATAGAAAATACACATAACCAATAGGTAGGGTGCAGGCTCCTGTAACATTAAGTTCCTCAAGAAGTGTGGACAGGATAGGCAACAGTTTCTGCTTACTCTCCTCGTTTGAAATGAATCCACTCTCAAGCTGATCAAAACATTTTATGAAATAGTTAACTGTTAGACCAACTTTTGAAGTACAGAAACTATAACAGAAAGTATGTATTAAATTATTTTTTTACCTCCAGAGTTGTGAGGTAGCCAGACAGTTTTTTGACAATAGGTTCTAAAGCACATGTTTTTGTCCTGGCATCACAGACTAAACCCAAATTGAAGAGCAAGGCATTCCGGCTGTACTTCTTATGCTCAATGCACACTGGACAGCCAATCAGTTTCTTCTCCATGGCAGTCCTTAATCAGTTACACAGATCAAACACACAACCAGGTCATTATCATTAACTATAAAAGTCAATTTACATCAAACGTAATCACAGAAGTAACATGTATTTAAACCAAGATGTAAACCAGGAACACACACACACATGCTGGTTGGAGCTAAATTCATTTAAAGCAAATCAGTTTACTTGACAGCCAGTTTAATTCATAACGTTACCCAATTTTTAACCATGGAAGTAAAGCTCCAATAAACATGAATGAATAAAGACTGAAATCTGTGTAACTGTTTTTTTTTTTTTTTTTTTTTAACATTTCAAGAACCTAATCTAAAAACAACGGTTTCAGAATTTGTGCATATAAGCTTGAAAGTTTAATGTAGTTTGAGTAACTTGAGATGACTTCTGCTGTTGAACCTTAAACAAGTAAATTATCTTTTATGTTTTTGCCATACTAGGATAGGCCAATTATCTTATTGAAATGTGGATGTTGCTCCGAAGTAGTTTTTGTAAACATTTAATATTTTTGTAAATGATATAGCATTAATACAAACATTACTGAACATTTGCCTGTGGATTTTCTATTGTGAGTATCCACTTTTTCGTTACTTAAAAATATCAACATATTTTTTTATTAAACCAGCAAATTAAATTTTAGATCCACTGAACCAAATTCTGAAATCAAAAGCCGCTACTTCTTGTTTTCGACAAGAAAACAAGCACGTTCAAACTATTTTAACGTTTTATTTTTTAATGGGGAGCTCGTTCGCTGAAGACAATTCATAGTTTAAGAAATGATTTTTAAAAACAAAGGCATAGCGTAGTTTTTAGTTTATTGGTGTCTGTGCCTAAGAGTCTAAAACCACAATGCAAATACAAATAAAACAATGAGATTACTTATGTAAAGTTTTATACGTACACTGTTATGAGCTTGTTCTGCAGCTCAGGTTTGGTGATGATGTACACCTGCACAGTATCAAAAAGTTCCCTCGAAATATATTCTTCCGGAACCTTCGATCAAACAAAAATTGAATATAATTTGTTACAATATAACCGGATAAACATTATTTTGCTTGTATGTACAGTGGAAGTCTCGTTTGTAAGCACAAAACCAGGTTGTCAAACATGCTATAGCCCACTCTGTTTCGCTCAAAAATATGTAATTCTATGACGTTACCTGATATGTGATCTTTGGTCCTAACGTTGGATGAAATTCACTGAAAAATATACAATCTATTCGTCTGTATGTACCCATGTTCAGTAATGTTGATGCCATTGATGTTACCTTCTTCTGTGTGTCCACGGAAGGGTAACAAATTTACAAAATAGGTGCATACCGCCACCTACTGTGCTCCTCCAACAATTCAAATGTTATGACCTGGATTATACAACCAATGCTAGGTAGTAACTGATTAGTACATATCTGGATTACATAATCAGATTCCAAAAAAGTAATTGTTTAGAAGATTATATTGTGTTTTAAAATATACATAATCATCTTTTATATTTCATAATTACCTATTATTCAACTATTTTATATATTAAATCTTCCTTTAAAAAAAAAAAGAAATAAAAAAGTAAAGCCTATCACGTATATAATGGAAAGTCTTGTAGATTTGTACACAGAGACCAGCCATGAAATGAGACAATGAGACATGAGACAACACAGCATTGGCTCTAGCCTACTATATTGAAAAAAATAAATAAATAAATAAATAATAATTATATATATATATATATAATTATATATATATATATATATATATATATATATTATTGTTTTCTTAACATTGCATCTATTACTAACGTATTTGGAAAGCCTTTGTCTTCCAGACAGGTTAAACATGCATAATTGATTTCGTATAATGCTTTTTTAACCTATTTGAATCACCTCCTGAGATTTTAAGTTATGTCAATCATTTAACATCACGAGTATAATTCTCTGATTGGTTAATGGTCACATGACAACAAATTAGTCTTGTTTAGTAATTATGCTTTTTAAAAAATAATTTACATAATTCAATTAATTATTAGCTTTTCGGGTTTTTTATGCAAACAACACATTCAAATAAATAAATAAATAAATAGATAAATAATAAATAAATAGATAAATAAAGTACATGCATGAATAAATTATATCCAGAGGGGTCTGCAAAGTCCAGCAATGCTAATCAACAAGCAGTCCAATTCATAGCATACCATATAGTTATGAGTTCCAAATTCATTCACTCACACTCACACAAGTTTTGAGTATATCTGCACAGTCTTCAGAGCTTTACAGTTCTTTGAATATCTTATGGAGTCCAAGTATTCATTGACTTCACTCTCAAACACAGGAAAGAAGGGTTTAGAGCCCCTGAACTTACATTTATGGATGTGATATTTAGCGAGTAGATAAAGATTAATAATGAAATACTTTCCATCCTTGTCCGTCTTAAGGTCAACCACACCAAAGAAAACATCTTATAAAGCAAAATGAGAAATCTGTAACGAAAAAGGTTTGGATGAATTCAAGGACATCTGACCAAAACTTTTCTGTGTATGAGCATTTCCAAAATAAATGGCAAATATCTTCATCTGACCTTTTACAGAAAGAGCATTCAGATTCAATATCTGGTTTATACCGCTTAAGCAAACACTTTACAGGGTAGAATCTGTAAATTAATTTAAACGTAACTTCTCTCACTTTATTTGTAAGCATATATTTAAAAGGCAAAGACCAAACGTTTTTCCAAGGGACATTCTTTACCTGTTCCAATATGGGATTATATAAGGAATAGTAACAATTTCTTTTTGGTATAAAGCCCTAATAGTTTTATTTTTCGTATAACTGCAGAAAAGCATAATCTCCCTACAGCAGTATCAGATAAAATCCATATTGTGAGTCAGTGGCCATGGGAAATTAATGCCTCCCAGCAACATTCTGATACCAGAAGGAATTGCATCAAAGACAATTGCATACTCCTTAACCAAAACAGGAATTTGAAATTTCTGCAAGAACTCTGAATAACTGAACAGTCTGCCACTTGTGTCATAGTTGGCCAACAAGTACAATATTATTACTGTACCAGTTTTCAAAAAATAAAGATTTGTTTTTGTAGAGAATGTCCTTATTATTCCAAATGTAATAACGGTGAGGTGAGAAGTTATGTTTAAATAAGAGAGACCAAGCCAAAAGCATGTGTTTATGAAAATTGGACAGTTTGATTGGGATTTTGTTAATATTATAATTGCATAATAACATAAAATTTAGGCCACCTATTTTAGAGAAAATATAGTTTGGAATAAAGTTCCAAAGTGATGTTGGATTGTAAAAGAATTGTCTGAGCCAATTGATTTTGAAGGTATTGCTTAAAGTTGTGAAGTCCAAAAAGTTTAAGCCCCCACCCTGATTTGTGTTCATTATTACAGACTTTTTGACATAATGAGTTTTGTTTTTCCACACGAAATTAAACAACATATCGTCAATTATTTTCGATACCTTACAATCAACATCCAAAGAGGCCGCCAAATAAGCAAGTCTGGAGATTCCCTCCGCTTTTGTCAGTAATACTCTTCCTCTCAAGGATAAGTCTCTTTGTAGCCAAGAGTTTAACTTTTTTTTTTTTTTTTTTCAATGATTGGGCTAAAATTTAACGGACTTCTTATACTTTGGTTATTATTGTTCAGAGGTATGTAACCTGATCCTTCACAAGAATGCCACATACATTTGATACATTACAATCGTTAACTGCCATTAGTTCACATTTTTTTAAGTTTAATTTGAGACCTGAAGCTTGTGTAAATCCTCTGATCAATTCTATCGCAAGGGGAATCTGGGATGCATTTCTCAGGACACCATGGTGGTGTCATCGGCCAACTGACTAAGGATGATACTTCTTTCAGCCAATGTTATCCCTTCCAAGGCACTGTTAGAAACATGTAGAGCTAAGATTTGAGAGGCGATCAAAAACAGGTATGGTGAGATTGGGCACCCTTTTTTGATTCCACGGGACACTTTGAATCTTGGGGAAGTACCGAATTTCAATTTTATTGCACTACCATTTGTATACAGGGTCCTGACAGTTCTGCAAAAGACATCTCCAAATCCAAATTTTTGAAGTGCTTGCAGAATCAAACCATGTTCAAGCGAGTCAAACGCCTTATAAAAATCAAGGAACAGAATGAAGCTGTCGTCAGTGATGAGCTCATTATAATCTAATAAATCTAGCACTAATCTAATGTTATTTGCAATATGTCGTTTCCTCATGAACCCAGATTGTGATTCATCTATTATAGAGTCTAACACTTCTTTAAGTCTATTAGCGAAAACTAGTACAAAAATTTTGTAATCGTTATTTAATAGAGTGATAGGACGCCAATTCTCTAGACAGTTTCTGTCCTTTTCTGGTTTTGGAATTAATGTGATGACACCCTGTGTCATAGTTGTTGGAAGTGCTTCTTTCTCTAAGCTCTCTGAGAAAACTTTTACTATAGTCAGGGAGCCAAAGTCTCAAAAATGGGTTGAACCTGACATGGTCTGCCATACTTTTTATTTGTATTTTTTCTGTTAACTTTGACCCTAAGAACAAATAATTGGAGGGTCTGCTCTGCCGGAAATATCGCGAAAAAAAATTGTGGTCATATTAGTGTACGCACCCTTTATTTTTTATCAGAAAAATGTGAAAAATTATTTTTTTCATCAAATCCTTAGTGGGTTGGGTAGGTTCTCAATAAATGCATTCCAGATACACAGAACACATGTGCGGACAACATCCACTGAAAAAATAATTCTTAAAACATTTCTACATGATTGCGCATCAATTTAATGCAAAAAACAGGTGTTTTTCACTTTTTTTCCACTATTTTCATCTTTACTTCATTGGGAATCAACTATTCCCTTAAGTTATAACATCAGGAAATATGCCATTCTTTTCACCAAACACTATACTCATTCCACAGAAAAAATGAAAAAAATCCAAACAAAATCAATGGATCTGTGATGATTTCACTACTAGTTGGCAATTAACAGGCTCAGAATTTCATTCGAATTTTAAACTACTCTCAAAATTCTCAAAAACATGCTGGATATTTAGCATCATGGCTCACTTACAAACACAAACACACAAACACACACGTGATCTTAGTAATTTTTTTGAGTTTGGAACAACCAACCAACGGTTTCCAATGGTTACCAACGGACTTCGAAGCTGCTCATCATTGTCTGTGGTAAGTGATAGTGACTATACCGGCCTGTCTGCCCTAGAGTTTTGGGAAAAGAATGGTAATATGGATATTGTAATGGTAATTAACTCAAAGGAACACACCTGTCTTCAAACAATAATATTTCTGATGATTCCTCATCCCAAACGTAGCAGCAGCATTCATTCTCTACTAGTTTACTTTGCTAGCGTTAGCCGTTTTAGCTAATTTCGGTGGTTTCTTTAAACGGCATTACTCCTCACAGGTATGGGGTAGAGAGTAGAGACTTACTTTTTTTAAATGCTCAGAATATTATGCTCTAAGAAAGGTATGTGTCCTATATGTTCAATAAGCTTTGACCGGAAGTGTAAATGCTGCTACAGTGATACGTTTGGAGCGAGGAATCATTGGAAATAAACTTGTATGAAGCCTGGTGTGGTCCTTGAAGTGTTTTTCATGTCAGACAGATAGTAGGCTAATAAGGGTAACTAAAGGCTACACTAAATGTTAGCTGCCATTAGCAATTAGCTACATGGCTAGTTGTTACATTCAGGTTTAGAAAGTTTAGCCAGTTAGCTTGTGGCATGAATGGCCACACCCAGACAGCAAACTTACATTGAATCAACGTGGAAACGACGTCTCTCATGACATTGAAACAACGTTGATTTGCTCATCGAATTAACGTTGAACCAACGTCAGACGCGGCATTCTTCAAAGCTAAATGAAATCGAAAATTGGTTTGCTTTCATAACGTTAAAACAACGCGTTGATTTCAAGTTGATTTTCCGTTAGTTTTGAAAGAATGACGCGTCTGACGTTGGTTCAACGTTAATTCGATGAGCAAAACAATGTCAGATCAACGTTGTTTCGATGTCATATTTCCACGTTGATTCAATGTCAGTTTGCTATCTGGGCACAGACACACACACAAAAAAAATATAGCTATATTGGATATCAGACTGTACACAATACTGAACAATACAAATGTTCAGTAAAATGTAAACATACTATGCATAGTTTGTTTTTGTATATACAGGGGTTGGACAATGAAACTGAAACACTGGCCAATGTTGGAGGTTTCACATCTCTATGCCTGGCGGCCAATCTTCAGAGTGAAGCACGGGTG